ATGGAGGCCTGGCTGATCCCAGCATAGAGTGCATTACAATAGTCCAATCGGGTCGTGACAAAGGTGTGGTCTAGTTTCTCAAGGTCAGGTCTGGACAACACTGGCCTGAGCTTAGCTACCTGTCTGAGTTGGAAGAAGCTTTTCTGCAGAACAGAGTTAATTTGTTTGTCAAACTTGAAGTCAGAGTCTAAAACCATCCTGAGACTTTTACCAGACTGCTTAAGATATGGCTGAAGAGAGTCCAGGTTGACAGGATTATAACCTGAATCTCTCACTCACTGCTATTTGAATTGAGAAAGCTCCTCGGATGAGGAGCGAAACGTCTTCTGTTACAAATAAAGTCCAGTTGTTTTTGTATTTGAATGCTTTTTAAAATCATTCATAGATCCTCACTGAACTTCTGGAGTGAGTTTGCTGCACTGAAAATAAAGGGGCCGAATAATATTGCACGCCACACTTTTCAGTTTTTTATTTGTTAAAAAAGTTTGACACATCCAATAAATCTCATTCCACTTCACGATTGTGTCCCACTTGTTGTTGATTCTTCACAAAAAAATTTAATTTTTATATCTTTATGTTTGAAGCCTGAAATGTGGCAAAAGGTTGAAAACTTCAAGGGGGCCCAATACTTTCGCAAGGCACTGTATACACAGGCACAGCTTATATATGTACAAGTTTTTTTGTTGTTGTTTTTTATTTAGTGTATGCGGCTTATATTTGGGTGCACTCTATAGTCTGAAAATGATGGCATGTGTCTATTTTGGAGTTATAGCCCACCCTGGAGAAAACTCCACCAGCCGCCACTGCCTTGAACCCCATTATCTCTCTGAGCTACTGGAACCATACGTTTCCTCTTGGGCCGTGATCTGATCAGCTCCTTTTGGTTGTTGCTAAAACAAGACTGAAGCTCAGAGGAGATAGTTTTTTTTTTAGTCATGGGTCCCAAACTTAGGAGCAATCTGCGCCCCCAACATTAGGCAGGCCACCTTTCTTCCGGTTTCTAAATCTCTGCTAAAATCACATCTGTTTTTTTCTGGTATTTCACACAGTGTGAGATGATTTAGTATTTTTTGTTCTGTTTTTATGTATTTTCTTTGCTTCAATTAATTTTTCAGTACTATCATTATTTTTATTTTCCATTAATTTACTCTCGTTGATGTTATCATTATAGCACTTTGGTAACAGCTGCTGTTTTGTGCTTTATAAATAAAGTTGACATGACTCCTACTCTCTTCTGCATTTCGTCAGTGACTTTTTACTATTGGGCTAACTTTGCTGAGGTACCTTTTTATGACTGAACCCTGGATCCCACTTAAGACCAGCGGCTGCTGAGTGTACAATCCAATAAGCCATTTCTGCACCTTTACTCTCTAAATAAAATGTCTCCAGAGCCATAAACTGTGATCACCAAATGCTGGTCGGCTGGCTAAATCCAGTTCATTTCTTGTCGGGGGATCGGGGGGGTCAAAGCCTGAAATAAAGATAACTTTACAGCCTATAAAAATATTGTTTATTATAATAATAAAAAACTAAAAATCTATACTTAATTGTTGACTTTTCTGGGTATTTTTACATGTTGGAACAACAGTTTTACCTTTTTTATTTTAAGGAAAAATATTTTACTGCTTATACTCCGTTTGATTAAATTGAAACACTGAACTACAACAGTGGTTTCCCTAGAGTTATCCAAAGGGGGGGACCCTGACCCCCCCAAGAAAGTCATGGCATGTAATAAATTAATCAGCGTCTTTAGTGTTCACATGTGACCAGTTCATTGTAGTCGGGGGAGACACCATTGCTGATACATCATCACCCACACTCCCCTGACCTCCCTTGGACTTCCTATCTAAAATTTTCCATTGTGTTAAATGATAATGCATCCAAAGAATTATCAATACTATAAAGACATGTCAGACTTGTGCGTGTGACCAAACTTTAACTAACAGAAAGAGGGATCAGATGCCGTGGGAGTGCCCATGGCTTGTTTGCGTCTCTCGATGTGACTCGTCCTTTCTGCTGCTTTAGTTCTTGGAATTAATCTAAATGAGCACACGATTGTATAAAAGCTGACTCAAAAAACTCACTGTTCTCCCTGTTAGTCAGTTTCAAGTGTTTGTATTTATCATACATAGCTGAACTTTTCCATTTTTCATGGGGTTATAGCGATATAAACCAAGTTTTGGGTAACTGGATGTGCTAAGCTCGATTATATTTGGAACCGTACTGTGATGTAAATGAACTGTGTTGATTAAAGGTAAAAAAAATAGATCAAATATGAAAAATAATTTGTATTGCGATGTACTGAAGTGGCTAACAGGCTAAGGTGCTATATAGCATGATCTTAGTATGTTTTGCTCCTTGTTAGTTTCATTCACATAGTAACAAAAAATTAGACATGAAAACTGCTAAAACTAGTTATCTTGTTATCGTTATGAATATTAGTAACAGTCATTTCTATGTTGTTTTTTTGGGTTTAAAGTTTAAAGAGCCACAGGTTGCACACTCCAGATTTAGGCTCATGATTTTTTTTTTTCCTCTAAAACTATTAAAGGGTTCAGTGTTTATTTTTGATGCTTCACGTTGCATGACGAAAGAAATAAATCTGTTTAAGTCGAGTCATCTCCTGGAGCAGCGCCTCACTTCTATTTATATTCAAATACTTTTCCTTGTGGCAATGTTTGTCTCATATTTCACAGCCCCATTTCATTCACCTTTACTGCCAGTTACTAGTTTTGAGCTTCACATTCTAGAGAAAGGAACAGTCCGACTAAAGTCTAAGGAAACCCACCTCTCGCTGTACTGGAGCACTGGGTGGACCCATGTGTAGATTAGACTTCAAGTGTGTATTTGAGGGTGTGTTTAAAGAACAACTCAAACCCACTCAGTAAGATTATTCAGGTCTTACTCTTACACACAACTGGCAGAGTGTTTACCTTGTGCTGTAAAAGTAATTACCGGTACATTACTAATTTTACTCATACAAATATCTACCATATACTATCACAACCATCAACCAGTAAATACACTCATTCATTTGGTGCAGACAAAGAGATGAAGGAATGCAGAAAATATGAAACAAATCTAGATATATTACTAAATATGAAGCAGATAAATTGGTGCATGAATAGAATGAGAGGGACTACAAAATAATCTGACATCTCAGAGGGGTTGTACCACGAGTTCAAACAATGAAAGGTCAAAAATACTCTTCTCATAAAGTGATCCACGGTGCTTTAGTTTAAGGTGTTATGACATGTTCCTCTTTTGTACTTTTTTTTTGGTTTGTTTTTTGTTTTACGGGGCTTTCATTCAAATTACTTCATCAGATTCCTGAACCACCTCAACTGACTCCTTCTGATGCGGAGGAGCAGCAGCTCTACTTTGAGCTCCCCCTGGATGACGGAGCTCCTCACCCTATCTCTAAGGCTGAGCCCGGCCAGCGTATGAAGGAAGCCCATTTCAGCCGCTCTGGGATCTCGTTCTTTCGGTCATGATTCAAACCTAGGTAAGGGTTGGAACGAAGACAGACCAGTAAATCGAGAGCTTTGTCTTTCGACTCAGCTCTTCCTTCACCATGACAGACCAAAGCAACGCCCTCATTACTGAGGACGAGGCCCCAATCTGTCGATCCATCCACAGATTAAAAAAAAAATTGTATTTGTTTCTTTTTGGATCACCTCTCTATTCCAGTGGTTTATAAACCTAATCTCATATAAAGTCGCATGTTTAAACATCAATTGTTGATGTGATGGACTTGTGACCTGTCCAGGGTGTACCCCGGCCCTCGCACAGTGATTGCTGGACATGGACGACCCCCATGACCCAAAATGGAAGAAGCGGGTAAAGATAATGGATGGATGGATATCTTCTTGTGGTGCCGGGGGAGGAGTTTAGTTACGATATAAGTTTGAATCATTTTTAATACCGGTAATAAAACAAATGAAAAAAAGCTCATAAAAACACAAAAAGAAAAGAAAAAAAACACTCAAAACCATAGAAGCTGGACAAGACTGGGACACATTCAGGGCATGCTAAGATGTTAACCAAACACACACAAGCTGCACTTTAATGCAGACTTATACATTTACTAACCACCGTCACGTTTTTGTCTCCACCACAACCAGTACTCAAGCTGAACACACCAGCTGTCAAAGGGGGGGGGGGGGGGGGTGACTCATCTCTCCCTCACAAACGAGCACTTTCTTTATCCCCTGCCTCACATTTACAGTCTTCCCGGCAGCAGCAGATGACCTTGTGAGCTGCAGGAGTCAGGCCTGCTCTCTAAATGAACATATGTCTCTAGAAGAGCCACGCAGACGAAGGCTCTCGTGGCCTCTTCTGGTCTGGATGCTAAAAGAGAGGAAGGATGCTAAAGTATCCGGATGCAGAGGGAGGATGCAGCAGACCGGTACCCAGCCGGTTTAGCTCAAAACACCGGGCTGGAACGAGTAAAATAAGCGGCCACCGTGATATAAAAGTAATAACACCAAGCTGCACTGAGGTGCGAGTCTAAAGGCTTGAGTTACAATCTAAACATTGACGGGGGAAAAATAAAAAGGAGGCTCCATGATGGCACCGCCTCGGCATCATCATCATCACCCGGCAGCTCCGCTTTGACGGCGAGGTTGATGTTTAATGTCTCAAACAAAAAACAAAAAAACAAGACGGAATCTGATTTTTGTGCCTTAATTAAACGACAAGGGAGGTATTTGTTAGTGTTTAGGCTTGTTATGCTTTGTGTGTGTGTGAGGAGGGAGGTGGGGGGAGGCGGGGAGGGTCGAGTCTTTACCGCATCTTGGCTCGACGTCAGTTTTCAGCCGTTAAACGAACCGAGCGTCTCCTTTTAACGTTAAAACCCTAAATTCACGTTAAAACGCGTTTTCATTGAGTTTAAGCTCCGCCCACAAACAAACACACACACACACACGTCCCCTGGCTGGAACATAATTAGTCTTACAAGCTACAGTATAAGTAACGCTACAAATATACACTTGCTTTACCTTTGTGTACAGCTCCGACGCTGCCATGACGGTACGTCCTTCCTCCAATCTGGGCTGAAGCTCCGGCCGGTCTCCGCTCTAGTCGGGACTCGGCGTCTGTTTTCATGAAGCGATAAAGAAAACCTCTTGTTAAAAGCGGAGACTCAAAGAGAAGATGTGCGTCTTAACTCCATGTTGATGAGCACACTAAAAGTCTTTGGACTGTTCAGGTCTCAGCGTCTCACTTTGCATTCTGGGTATGATGGATGAAATGAAATGATTGGGCAAAACACGAGAAACCGAGAAACCTGCTGCAGCCGTGTGGGAAACACCGCCACCTGGTGGCCAGGCTGTGAAAGTACATACACTCGGCCCTTGAAGGACTCTTTTCAGAAACATTTTCACTGAAAATAACTTTTTTTTTTTTTTTTTAAAGAATTTGGCTACTTTTTCCCTAACTCATTTTCTGCCCCGTTATTTTACCTGACCCACATAATGTGCAGCTCCTCTCAGTTTTTCCTTTATTAGGGGTGACTACTCACTACCAGTGGTGTAGTCTACATTTTTGTAGTGGGTGTACTGTGCTTAGAAACTAAAGTACACCAGCTAGTACATTGGAATCGTCAATTTATTTAGATTTTTAAGCATATTGAACATTTCCAAATTTCTCTGATGCTTATATATGAATAAATAAACAACAAACTTTGTACAACAGTTGGCTTTGTATTAAAAACATGTTATAAAATTTATAAAACAGTATCAAAGCAAAACATGTTCAAGTATTAAGTAGTACATGCAGAAGTATTAATTAAACAATAATTTGCTGTATAAGTAAATGTAATTAACAAGCGCTGCGTACCGATAGATTGTTACGGAAGTGTTTAACATATCAATGACGTACCACTGTCCCTCCTCTGGACATGTCCAAACCATTAATTAGGGTCGGCTTGTCATGCTGACTTAAGCTTAGACTACTGGAGACAAATTGACCTCATTTCCTTAAATGAATGGTTAAAACTGAATAGTTTTCATTTGATACTATTTCTATCTTAATATGTGATTCTTGACCTGCCATTGTGTATCTGTTCCTCCTTCCTGTTCCTCTCAAACCCAATGGGTCGAAGCAGATGGCCGCTTGTCCTGAGCCTGTTCTACTGAAGGATTATTCCTCACGAGGGAGTTTTTCCTTTCCACTGTCGCCTTCATGCTTGCTCAAGATGGGAGCTCTGCGATCTCAAAGCAGTCTGCTCCTCAGATAAATAATGTTAAATTATTATTTTTAAACATGAATGTTTCTGATGACTTATTTATTTATATATGAATGCGTCTGTTCAGTGCCCTGAGAGGACTTCTGTTGTGACTTGGCTCTACTGTATATAAATAAACTGTATTGAATTGATTTCAATAACATGCTTAATGATATGTCATGTATCATTGGGCACTTTTAAGTGGGTTTACTGAAATTTTTATGCTTTTCTAGTGAGTATACTCCATGTACAGAGAGTCATCTTCCACTGCATCCTGTCCTCACGCCAACTACCTCCATGGCCTCTTTATATGCACATATCCTCTTTGGTCCCTTTCTTTTTCCTGGCAGCTGCATTTCCAACATCTTTCTGCCAATATACCCACTGTCCCTCCTCTGGACATGTCCAAACCACCTTCGTCTGGCCTCTTTAACTTTATTTTCATTAATTCAACATTTATTTATTCAGGTTAGTCTCACTGAGTCATGAAGACTCATTTACAAAAAAGACCTGTTTTAAACAAATAACACAGATGCGGTACAGACAACAATAGACAATCATATAAAATGAAAAGTTAATAAAAGAAGATGTATGAAAACGAAACATAAATAGCTACATTATAAAATGATGTAAATACCAAAAACAGGAACATGACTGCATTGATTTTTGCCAAATCAAGCTTGAAATCTTTTTGCAAGTTGTTCCATGTTACAGGAGCGGAGTAGAAGAAGGACCTTTTGCCTAGTTCAGTCCGCACTGAGGGAACACTGCAGGTAATTATGTCTTGAGAGCGCACGCTGGAGCTGCACTGATGAAGTGACATGGATGTATGAAGGCAGCAGACCAAGAAGTGATTTACAGATGAAAATGTACCAGTGAGAGTCTGCATGAAGTTAATGATGACCATTTAACCAGTGAGGGTGCAGTGATGGGTACGGTAGTTACAGCCAGTTATGAATCTTAGCGCACCGTGATAGACAGCATCCAACATCTGCAGGGTGCTTGCATGAGTGTCCATGTAAATAATGTCACCATAGTCAATGGAGGGAAGGAAAGTAGCAGCTACAAGGTGTTTCTTAGCATTCAGAGTTAGACAGGATCTATTTCTGAAAAAGAAACCCAGTTGTACTATCAGTTTCTTCACCAAGTTTTCGACACGAGGCTTAAGAGAGATGTGAATCGAAAAAATTCCCAAATATTTGTAAGAATTGACAAACTCAACAGGAGCACCATTCATAGATCAGATAGAAGGAAAGACCACTAGGACCGACTTCTTGTTTGAAAACAACATCCCTTTGGTTTTATCTGCATTTAGCACCAGTTTCAGATTAAACAAATCTGACTGGATGATGTTGAATGCAGACTGTAAAAGCTGCATGCACTACATGCGCTCGGCCTTTGAAGTACTTTTCAGAAACATTTTCACTGGGAAAAAAAAATTAAAAATTAAGAGATTGTCTAATTCTTCCACTAATTCCTTTTCTGCTCAGTTATTTTACCTGACCCGCATACTGCACAGCTTCTTTCATCCATCCATCCATTATCTCTACCCGCTTCATCCTTTTCTTTCGGGTCGTGGGGGTCGCTGGTGCCCATGTTCAGCCATCACTGTGCGAGAGGCGGGGGACACCCTGGACAGGTCTCCAGTCCATCACAGGGCCACATAGAGACAGACAACCATTCACTCTCACTCACACCTAGAGACAATTTAGTTACCAGTCAGCCTAACATGCATGTTTTTGGTCTGTGGGAGGAAACTGGAGTACCTGGAGAAAACCCACACACAGAGAGAACATGCAAACTCCACCCAGAAAGGCCCCCAGACTGGGATTTGAACCAGAGTAACCTGCTAGCTGAGAGGCAGCAGCTCTACCAGTTATGCCACCGTGCTGGCCAGCTTCTTTCAGCTGTTCCCTTTTTAGGGGTCATCCTCACTGCATCCTCTGTCCTCACTCCAACTACCTCCATGCCCTCTCTGCATGCACACACATAACAGCATGTCCCTTTGTCTTCTTCCTGGCAGCTGCATTTCTAACATCCTTCTACCAGTAAACCCACTGTCCCTCCTCTGGACATGTTCGAACCATCTCAGTCTGGCCTCTTGAACTTTACAGAACCTTAACATCTTCAGCTCTGCCACTTCTTACTTTCCTGGACAGTCTACCTGAAGTATTGGAAGTCCTGCACCTTTGTGACCTCTGCTCCACCGCCTCCCAAATGGATGAAAAAGAAGTATGGTACAGTTTTTTAGCGTAAGTTTTGAGCTAGAGCAAATTCAGCTGAAGGATTCACTATACAGTATTTATAATCTTTAATGGAACAAAGTTCATGCTCAATCATCCAGGTACCTAATCCAATAATTCTGTCGGGTCATCTGGACTTTTCCATCCATCATTTTTACCTGTTTCTTTCTTTTTGGGTCACTGGTGTCCATGTCCAGCTATGTGTGAGAGGCGGGGGACACCCTGGACAGGTCTCCAGTCCATCACAGGGCCACCGAGACAAACAACCATTCACTCTCTCACCCACACCTGGAACAATTCATTACCAATCAGCCTAACATGTATGTTTTTGGTCCGTTTCCATCTTTGTAACTTATTGTATGTAAAACAAAAACTCAGGACACGTTTAGTGAACATTTGTGCAAAACTAGTTTATTTACAAAACAAAATGGCACATTGTGACAGCAGGGCAGCCATATACATGCACAGCTCACCGATGTCGTGCCGGCTTAGATCGACCACATCACAGGTACATCCCGTCAGAACTGACCCTTGAGAAGCACAACACAGGGCTGAGAACAAATTTAGGATTAAAACTACTTCAACTTAGAATTACACAAGGTCTTCCCTTCAGTTTGACACGACCTAGTAAATATTCTTTAATAAATGAAAGGTCGGTGCCCCACAGGAATTTATCTTTAAGGTTTTATTACACCCCTCAACTCCTCTGTGAGCAAGATGATTCATTCATGACAACTGTGACCCCGGTCGAAGTTTGTGTCGCTGGGCCGAGGCAGAAACAGCACACCACGAATACGGTGCAAACTTTCAGCTCTGCTTTCATCGTTTAAAGGAAAACATCTCATAGACTCGAGGCGTCTTGAACGAACCATCGACCAGGCCCTTCTGTACTTTATTTTTTACACAAGTTTAAATATTTACCAGTTCTTTGAATTAAAAGACAGTAAAGTTTGAAGCTGGGACTCCACACATGCAGATCTGTAAAAGTGTTATTTTAATATGGACATAAAAGGATCAAAACTGAACTTGGTCTCTGGATCTGGTGCTTTCAATGGCTCAACTATCCCCTCATTTAAAAGAAGCACAGAGTGAATAATACACAAATCAGATGAAAAACTTCCTAAAATGCTGATGCCTGCCCGTGCCAGACAAATATGTACAAACGTTCAGACACACATGCACGCTTCGAGCTGAAGGACACTGAAATTCATACGGAAGAATTCAAAACCACCGGGTTGTAGTTTCTGCTGTTCACCCCCCATCCTTCACCAGTAAAGTCTTGTTTACTGTTCAGACACAGACCATTCATCATCCACGTGCTGCACCTTACAGATAGAAAATATGAAGAAAAGAAAAGTAAGAGTCAGTTGGGGTGAGTGGTTGGGGCAGACAGAGGACATTGATGAGGCTGAAACTAAAGTGAACATCCTTTGAAGCAATCAGACAGCTGGTTCAGTGTGGTGCTAGGTGTGGGTTCTGGTGGAAAGAGGGCAAGGGAGAGGTAAAGTTACAGCTGAGACAAGTGGAGCGGATTATGGGGCTGGAGGTTCTGCATGTGGATCAGCCTGCCAGTTTACTGGCCACCAAAGAGGGTTTCCTTTGGGGCAGGTCCTGGGGGGTGGGAATGTGGTCCCCTGTGATCTCCGTCTTCTCTGGTGCAGCTGCTGGCAACTGTTTGTTCTTTATCTTCGCTTTGGCCATGTTGTAGTCGCCAGAGTCAAAGTATTTTTGCTGCAGAGAGGGAAAAAAGACTTTGAATCACACATAAAAAAAAAAAAAAAAAATTAAACAATCTTTTCAGAGACAAAATTGACAGATTTTGTTTAAAAAGGTGCAATGTAAAATTTAATTCATGCCACACTATACAGGAATGAATTTTATATACTGCAGTTATGGTGAGGTAATGAAGAAAAAAAAATTGTAATCAAAATTCAACAATGGGACTTTGTTTTACAAGTGTTTTTTTTTTTTTTTTAAAAGAAGTTACTATGTTTCTTACCTCTAATATATGATGATATAATGTGCAGCTTTTATTTCATAGAAACAAATACAAGTTTTTGGTATTGCCACTAGTTTTATTGTACGCTTAAAATGTCAACAAATCTTACATTTTTATTGTAGAAAAAGGTAAAAAAAAAAATTCATACCCCAAAAATTATATAAATTAAATTATTAAGATATTACTTAGAGACTGGTCTCAGGATTGGGTGTACAATTGTTTTGCATTAGGAGTTAAAAGACCTAATGCTTGCTCAGGATGAGAGTCTGCGATGGAGTTAAATTCAAAGCAGTCTGCTCCTCATAAATAGTGTTAAACTTGTTTATTTGTATAAATGAATATTTCTGTTCAGTGCCCCGAGATGACTTCTGTTGTGACTTAACACTATATAAATAAACTGAATTGAATTAAGTGACTGCTTTTATAAGAGGAAAGACAGTTGTGCTTCTTCTTTTATCTCATTCAACACATGAATCACTGCACTTTTAAGTTTTTGTCTCCTGAAATTACTCCATAACCTTCAGTGTCCTTACGTCCTTCAAAATTAACTAACGTAGTTAAACTGTTCTTTAATACAATGGTAAGCACGTCTTTCTCAGTGAAAACAATATCAGTTTCTTTGCTTTGTGACAGTTAAATAAAAACTTACATTAACAATAGACAGATTTAGGATTTATAGAAAATGCAATAAACATTTACAGAAACAGGGTTGAGTTAGCAATCCTCTCGAGGCCCTGTAGTCAAGATGCACAATACCTTTTAAAATCCAAAGGGGTCCCTAGCAAATGCTCGTTTCCCTGGTGACCAGTCACAATTTTTACAACACTGAACAAAAACATTCACATTCCAGAGGTTGAAGTTCATGCTATTTTAATTACTTGGCTGATTGAACAGAAGCATTCACTTTACCATTTAAAAATAAACTAAATAAAACACACAAAAACTAGGGTTTCCAGCTGGTCATGTAGGAAATGTATTTTTGGCTGCATGTTTAGTATCTTAGGGTATATGCAGTGAGAAATTGACAAATCAAAGAGCTCTTAACTTTGTGTTCACTTGTTTCAAGTTACACAATAACTTTTAAAATCCAAAGGAGTCCCTGGTAAATGCCTGTTTCCCTGGTGACCAGTCACAACTTTTACAATACTTAACAAAAAAAAAAAATAAAAAAATCACATTCCAGAGGTATGTGGTGTTAAACTCAAATATTGAAACAAACTTCAGAGTCTGTACAATACTGACACTGTAAGACATGGGGAGTAGCCTCTGGCAAATTCTTGGTGTTTTGGAGGCAAACAAGAAATTAACTCACCCCCTTCTGCAAGCGCTTGCGGAGCAAATCAGAGCCTCCAGGCTTATTTCCTAGATTTGGATATCTGGCTTTTAGTTTAGCTTCCTCTGCTTTCTCTGGATTGATCACGTTGTCTTGCACTTCCTGAAACCAGAAAAAAATAAAATAAAAGAGATGCAAGGGTATACTGCAGCCAAAAATAATACTAAAAAAACACAAATAAACTGCAAATGATTACGGTACATAGGAGCAGGTTTAGATTCAAGGCTGTAAACACATGGCTAAAAGTATTTCAACATTCATTTGAAAGGGTTTACAAATAAGCAAACAAAGTGAGCACTTTTGTTTCTTGCAACAACAACAAAAAAAAATAATATTCTGCTGCAAGGACTGTTGCTGGTTGGGAGTGGCTGGGACCATCATGAATTAAAGTTGGACACGAAATTACTTGATGCCAAACTGAAGACAGACAAGGAACAATGACCTCACAGGATGGTCACAGCTCAAATTTTAAGCCCCCCGCCCTTCTACTTAAACAAATGGGGCTTTGCCTTTATTTAAAAGCAAACAAACAAACAAACAACACTTTTTCACCCAGAAGTTGATGCTTGTTGATTCATGCAGTTTTTATTTTATAATCCAATACAGTATAAATTTTTCCATTATGTTTAACTGTACTTTTTTCCATGCATAACAGAAAGGTCACGTAAGGTCACGACTGCGTGAGGAGGGGGAGTGGGCGGGGCTTATAGCCTCCCACATCTCTAGTGCGCATACTCTGGCTGCAGGCTGACAAAACTCTTTAATGCTTTAAATGTTCAGCAGGATATAATTTGGTCTTAAAAACATTTCTTGTAGTTTATATCCCCACCCCCACAATAAAAATCTCCGCCAACTCAAACAGTGAAACGTGTTGAATGGATTAAAAAAAAAAAACATCTTGTGACCGGTTGTATTACCGGAGACCGTTAGTGTGGTGTTTAAAATTGTCCAGCGCTGGCAGAACGACGGTGTTTCGTTGAGCTAAGCTAATACAGCTAGCACTGTGAGAATGTCATGAAGGCTAGCAGCCAGCGTTAGCTAACGGTCTGACATTCAGCAGCCTTACACAACAACACATTTATTCACACATTTAGCCCAAAGAAGGCACTTGTCGTTATGCCGCTGAATGTGATGCACTTCAGGTGTCAAGTTTAGTTAAGGGGTTGGTTGCTAGCTTTGACTGATATGTCAACAATGACGCGCGCGCGGGTGGAAGAAGCTAAACCTTACAGGTAGCTGTTAAAAGTCAACGACAATAGAGCTGTGCAGTTACCGTCTCCACCGATGTGTCCTCTGCGGTATGAGTTTCTTCGTTATCTCCCGACATTTCTAAGTGATCTCGACCAAGGCACTGCTTAGTAGTTGGGGGGGAAATGACTTTCTGTAGCCCACGCACACCACCACCGCCAAGCTGCTAAAGGCTCGCTCCCGCCTAAAAAATACGTCTCATGCTGCCGTGCACCCGCACGCTGTCAGTTCGGGTTGCGCAACATGAAACGGCTCAGCTGTTAGTGCCACGTGCTGCCAAATCACGTCGCTAATCCTCAAAGATGAAGGATGCTGTTCAGGTTAATACAACGCAGCTTTAAAAAATATCTGATCTTTATTCAGCCGAATAATAAAGTATCCTGGATATACACACATTATAACAAAGTTCATGCTCAATCATCTAGGTACCAAATCCAATAATTCTCAGTCTGGTCATCTGGACAGTTTTTTTTTTTTTTTTTTTATAGAGACATTTCATTCTCTATCTGGAGGGCTTCATCAGTCAGAGGGGTTTCACTAAACGGTTTCCCCACCAAGCAGTAAACTCCCTAAGTGTCCAGATGACCCAACTGAGAAAATGGTAATGGATTTGGTACCTGGATGATTGAGCATGAACTTTGTTGTCTTGAACCACTTTGGCTGTGGCTGCCTGTCTGGAAGGAGTCGACGAGGGACAGGACAGCCCCTAGAAACCATGTTAGCTCCAGCAAACTGCTTGGTCCACGTAAAGAGTTTACTGCTTTGTGGGGAAACAGTTTACTGGAACTCCTCTGACTGATGAAGCCCTCTGGATAGAGTGAAACGTCTCTATAAAATAGAAACTGTCCAGATGACCTGACTGAGAATTATTGAACACAAATGATAGTTGACATGTGCATCACTGCAGGTTTTTCCCTCCTCTATAATCTTATCGGTTTCACCTTGTGGAAGTAGTTTTTCCTCGCTCCGCTTTTCCACGTAGCCTCAGTTTGAGATCCAAACTTCCAAGCCACTACAGCACGTTGGATCTTTTTAACTTTTCTGGTGTGCAAGGAATTATGACACGTTTTAGTCGTCAGACATTTGACTGGAAAACACTTTGCCACACAGAAAAAGTCACGATCAGCTCAAAGACTGTATGCAGGTCGTTTGTCTGCACAATCAGTCCAAAATATCCTTGAATTTATAAGAACTTCGTGTTGAGGAACTGTGCTGAGCATTCACCATGATTCATAGTTAATTGTGGGTGCTTGCACCACTTGCAGCTACTATAAGTGATTACAAAAACTGTAAGGGTATACTTATTTTTACTTCCTGCTTCTGCATTTTGGCCCCGTTATAATTATAATGAACTGGTACAAGAACTGGGCTGTATTAAAAAGTGACTTGTTACTTGGTACATACCTGCATTGCTGCTTTCATATGTCAGTCAATGAGTGTCAAGTGCATTTATAGTGATGTTTATGTGCCATAGTGAATTTATGACTTTTGATCAGGTTCAAATCAATGCCATCTGCTTAAAAATCATCCGTCACCCCCCCCCCCCCCCCCCCACACAACAATCTCTCAACATGGAAAGAATATGGAGACGGAGTTGTTATTTTAGGTCACAGAAAATGAAGTATTTTGAAAGTTTGTCAATGGTCTGACATTGAATTTCTAAATACTGAATTGCGGACGAAGTACAGGAAACCCAGTAAGAGGGAAAACAAAAGGAGACAGCAGATTTTGCTGACAGCAGACTGCTTTAGAAGATAGAGATATATTTTTCCAGATTTGAATATTAATGTCAAAAATACACACTATGATATACAGTTTGCACTACATCATTTTAGCATGACAGACAACACAAGTAGTAACTGAAATATTAATTTAAATATTAAATAAACTGATGGCAGGTAAACTGAAAATGAATGTGTAAACACTAAACTAACGTTACTTTTTTCTATTGCAACATTTCCAATAAAGTGGTTTTGTAACAGTACAAAAGTATTAGAATATGACTTCTCTGTTTTATTTCCAGTTATAATGAAAAATAATAATCCACAGTGCACTTCTGATGTCCTGCTGTGATGTCTTTTGGTAAACTCCTGGTGATTGCTTGTTCGACTTCTTCAGTGGTCCATGGGATGTGTTGCACTACAGTCTGGCACCCGGTTTCCCTTCCACGTACACTCCCTCGGCTCCGAGCTCACAGGGTCACACAACTCTGTATTCGAGTTCACTTTTAGCTGAATCAGTCTAATATTCAAGGACATTTGGAATCTTACCAACAAAAATACATTGCCTTGAGGTAATAAGAATTTAAAGTGAACAAATAGAGATTTATGTTTGGATTCGTGTCAGCAGAGTAAAATAGTCTAATTTCCTCTGAACAAATTTAAAGTGTCTAAACTGCTTTTGTGGGCGACAATCATTGGCCTCCACTCTCCTGCCAGACGCTGGAGAGGATTAATCCAATAGCATAAGAAAATGAAAATCCTTTCAGATGTGGTAATATTTTGACTAGCATCACAAGCTTTTCCAATAACCAACTTTGACCCAAATGTCTTGTCCAAGGTTGTGCACTAAACAGAGACCAAGGTGTATTTCTGATGAGTCTTTCATGCTCTTAGCCGACCCGACTACCAGTTCCAGGTGACAGACGGGATGAAACTCATGTTTGTGGATACAGGCCTACAGGTAGGGCCTGTTGACTGCCATCCATAAACCTCATCTCTTTCCAAAACTCAAGCCATGAGCTGATGGGCTGAATAAAAGTCTATCGCTGGCATCGATGTGTGACTGAAGCTTCAGTTATGGATGCATCTGGATAGATGGAAGCGTTAAAACTTCAGCAGCGAGGAGAAAATGGTGGGTCAATGGGAGATTCTGTGAAGGACTGGAGCTCGTAGGCAGCACCGCTGTCCACCTCCATTGACTTCCTGGAGAACAGCAGGCGAATGTCACTGTGAAGGTAGAGCTTCCCAGACTTCGAGCTCTGGAACCTGGAGGCAATGAGAAAGGGTGGGGGCGGGTGGAGGTGAGAAGAGTCACAGAAGAGAATTATCAAAGCGGACAAGAAGTCTCAGCAGCTGGGTGTTTTCCAGAAAACAGTAACCGTCTCACCTCAGATGAACGAGGTAGCGCAGGATGCGGCCTTGGCCCTGGGTGAGGGGCTTCCTGCTGCTCTGATTGTTTGTGTCGCGGCGAACTGGAACAGAGAAGGTTCTCTGGCGAAGGAAGGTCTGGTGACCAGCTGGCATGGCTCTTAGATCATACATCACAACAAACATCTTTACCACCGTCTTGTTAGGGTTGAATAAGGTCTGAAAGATTTAAACAGAGACATTTAAAAGGTTTTAAGCTTTTTTGGGGGGGGTAATCCAATAACAATGTGTAACACACTGAATGTAGTATCCAAACAGCATAAAGTGTACATAAAGAAAAACTTTTTAAAACCCCAAACAAGCAGAAACAAATGCTCAGCTTTGATACAAGATAAATTCCCCATTACGGCCACTAGGAGTCTTAATTTCCTTTCGTGATTTAATCTGCTCTTTGTTCAGAGCCATGAATACACTGGAATGGAAATACTTAATGGACCTAAAGAAATGGAACATTTCAACATTTCGGCAACTGTGAAAAAAAAATCCTAACCACTTGAATGGTTCCTGATGGAGGTACACGGTAGCCCCTTTTCCCCTCCAGGTTTATCACACCCTGTGTGAAAACATACAACAATCACAGGATCACAAGCAGGCATACAAAAAGAGCTTGCACAGTCTCGCACACACAAGACAATTTCATCTCTAGGTTCAGCTTTGTGGTATAAGAAGGGGGTAATTTGGTTTATAACATGAAAAATGTGAGCTCACCATGTATGGTGAGGGAGCATTGTCATCGGAGACGCTGTAGAACAACACATCCACAGGTAAAGTCAGGTGACTTGGACAGAAGGATCCGCTGGCTCCCACCTCTGCTGTAAAACCTTCCACTGTGCCTAAAGGCTCCAGGCGATAGTTCAGCACACACTCCTAAAAAAACAGAGTTCAGAATGAAACACTTCATGCAATCTATCTCTTAAGCAATGACGAACGTTTAGTCATGAAAATTCATTCAATCTTTATTTATACAGGTTAGTCTCATTGAGTCACAAGGACTCATTTTCAAGAGAGACCTGTTTTAAACAAAGAACACAGATGAGGTACAGACAACAGTAAAACAGTCATATAAAAGCGTATAAAATGAAAAGTAAATAAAAGAAGTGAAATAAAAACTAAACAAAAACATGCTACGTTATAAAATGATGTAAAATACTAAAAACAGGAAGATGTCTGCACAGATTGTTGCCATGAACTTGACAGATGTTTAAAATCCCTTAGAGAGGTCAAAGTTGACAACTTAAGATCTTTTTCCAAGGTGTTCCAGGATACAGGAGCCGAGTAAGAGAAGGCCCTTTTGCCTAGTTCAGGCCGTACTGAGGAGACGCTGCAGGTAATGATGTCTTGAAAGCGCACACTGTAGCTGCACATGTAGGTGGAGATATAGGAAGTCAACAGACCAAGAAGTGATTTAAAAATGAAAATATACCAGTGAGAGAGTCTGTGTGAAGTTAATGATGTCCAGTTGACCAGTGAATACAGGGTGCAGTGGTGGGTACGGTAGTTACAGCGAGTTATGAATCTTAGCCCACTGTGATAAACAGCATCTAACATCTGCAAGGTGCTTGCAGGAGGGTTCATGTAAATAATGTCATCGTAGTCAATGGAGGGAAGGAAAGTAGCAGTTACAAGGTGTTTCTTAGCATTCAGAATTAGACGGGATCTATTTCTAATAAAGAAACCCAATTTAACCTTCAGTTTCTTTATCGAGTTTTCAACATGAGGCTTAAAAGAGAGATACGAATTGACCAAGATTCCCAAGTATTTGGAAGAATCGACAAACTCAACAGGAACACCATTCGTAGATAAGATAGAAGAAAGGACCGCTGGTACTGACTTCCTGTTTGAAAAGAACATCCCTTTGGTTTTATCGGCATTTAGCACCAGTTTGAGATGGAACAAATCTGATTGGATGATGTCGAAAGCAGACTAAGAGCTAAAAAAACCTTAGCAACTGTTCTATCTCAACAATAAACAACTGTGTCGTCAGCATAGAAATGTAAGGATGCATCAGGAACGATCTGGCCTACATTACTTATGTAGATTGTGAAGAGGGTGGGTCCTAAGACTGAGCCTTGTGGTACACCATTGTTGACAGTTAAATAACTGGAAGAAGTACCATTATGTCGAACACATTGGAGACACAATGGATAACTTTTGCATGACTTTACAAATTTTGATGTGAATTTGAATAGGAGTGATTGTCCAGTAAAACTGCTGATGTTATACCTCAAAGTTTCCCAGAAGGCTGAGATTGGCAGGTGGAGCGCTGGCGCTGAACAGCTGCTGTGACTCATCTGTGTACCCTTCTGTCTTCGGACACACCCTGAAGGGTTAAATCACACATGGTTGATAAACTTGTTCTCAATACATGACGTTGAAGCATCACGAGTAACTTTAAAATGGCAGAAACATCTCTGGTATGACTGAGTACACCTATAACACAGATTTTATAAAACCACCTCAGGCTAATTTAATTGCAAACAGAACAGAAATCACCAGAACAAACCAGGTCAACCTGTCATAATCTTAAATAACAGCTGATCAGACAACAAACATGCCGTTTGATGGTTGAAATTAACTTTCAGTCCAGAGTTCTGCACTCCACAAACATCTGCAGCTCTGAGCTTCCACCCACATCTGCTGTGTGTAGGCAGAGGCATGAATGTGTGTGTATACAGGCAGCTTACTTGTGACTGCCATTTACAGCTGAATGTGTGTGATTTGAGACACAGTCAGAGAGAAGCAGAGCTACATTTGATAACAGTGAGCGGATATCTTTCCCTTGAGAGCTGCTGTATCTTTTCACACAGGAGAAAATCATGCAAATGCTCAACCAAGGCAGCCCTTCTGCCAAAGGTCATCACATAAAAACCTCCAACTAGATCAATGAATATATTAAATACATTTAACAACACAAGTAATAACAAATAAACTAAAACAACCTACACAGGAAACTTATCTAAGACCTAAAGAGGCTACAGAAGCTCTAACAGCCTGGGACTGAACTAGACACATATTACAAAGTTGAAATGTGCTGATCACATGATTTTAAACCTTTCATATATCCAGCAACAAACAGGGAGACCACAAGTTTAACTTGCAGAGCAAACTACATCAGTATGACTTCCTTTGCAGCTCATTTATTTATTATTGTGAACATAAAAACGCATAACCTCTAAAAAAAATTGTGCCAATTATCTTTTCCATCTTTCTTGTCTCACTGTGGTTTGATCCACCACTGTTTGGACTCCTCTCGCCCCTGCAGCTCTTTGCACAACTGACAGAAACACTTATTTTTTGTATTCTTTCTCTTGCTAAAACATGTTCATAAGTTTAACCAAACTGAGTTTTTGTTTCATTACTTCACGGTTACTAAGAGGCACATCCTGAAGCATGTATCCTCTGGAGAGGCAGAAGGTTCTGTTTGCAATTAGGATACAGGATGCATGGTTCAATTAAATATGTAGCATTTTATAATAAAGCACTTTATCTTTTAATTAATATGCCCACTTTTTTTGCCCCCTCCCTTCCAGAGTCTGAGAATAGATTTCAGTCCTGCACAACTTTTGTTACTAAGAATCTCAAAGTGGCTAACCAAAAAAGTCCATGCTCAATAATCCAGGTATACAATCCAACAATTTTCAGTCAGGTCATCTGGACAAAGTGGTTAACTTCAGCAAATTTGATCTACCTTAGATTACTAATAAAAGTGGCTGTAAAAAAAAAATAAAAAAAAAGAAAAGCTTTAAATATCCAAAAACAAATACAGAATAATCCTTAAAATAAAGTTCAACAAATAATATTTTAAAAAGTCATCATCAAACAGTTTATATGAGATCATTGATGTACCGTAATTTCCGGACTATAAGCCAATACTTTTGTCCCCACACACTTTGAACCCCTGTGACTTATACAATGCTGCGGCTAATTTGTAGATTTTTTATTTTAAATTTTTTGGACAGGCTAACGAGCTTCATGCCACAAAAGCATTTAGCCTCGTTGCACCCAGACGCTTGCATAGCTGCCCATTACACGTCTCTCTTGTGAGATGGGTCCTCATGACTCATTGAGACTACCTGTTAAAAAAAAATCTGACCAATGAAATTACCAAACCAGTAGACCAATAAAACTTTTTTGCGGGGAGAGAGAGACATGGTCACTTTTTACAGGGATATATTTTGAAAATTAAATGTTAAACGTTATTTTATTTATCGTTTGAATTAAATTACAAATTGAGCAGTCTTGAATACGAAAATGAAAATGCAGTTTGGATTATTTATTTTTACTTTTATTTATGAATCAAAACATGCAGCTTTATTTTGAAAATGAAAAGTATTTTTATTAATCCATTTTAATTTGAAAACCGAGACGTTTGCTTCCATAGAAATAAGTGTGAATCGTGAATTTAAAATGGCACTCCGAAATCAATGGGCGGCTTGGATGACGAGAAATTGTTAAGCAAAACTGGCTTCATGCAAAGAGCAACTTTTGCTCAAGTCTACCAGTGGATCCAGACAGTGGAGCAGTGTCAAAAACATACGTGCGCAGGAGGAAGATGAAGATAGCGATCATTGACTTCCTGGTAAGCTACTGTATTTTTTTTTTTTTTAACAAGCCATGTTACAGGCACTGTTCAGAAAAAATATTTACTGTATGTATTTGCGTATGTTACCCGTACGTATTTAATTAAAAGTTTAAAAAATCTTTCTGTGTAAATATCTCATTACAACGGGACACCCGTGGCTTATAGACCAGTATGGCCTATATATGTACAATTTTATTTTTTTTTATTTAGTGGGCAAGGCTTACATTCAGGTGCGCTCAATAGTCCGGAAATTACGGTACCCTGACCCTTGTCTAGAGTTTTCCAACTATAGTAAGAAATAATCTCAGGTGAGAAAATGAGTACCTTTTCCCAGAAGCCCAAGGCAAACCCTTACAGCCAGTCAGAGAGATGTCCAGGTCAAAGTAACCTGTTTGATTTTTCCTCTGAGGAACCTACAGCAGACACACAGAACATGATTAACACGAGGCGGCTGAGTCGAAGCTGACGGGGAAGAAAAAAACAACACTTTTTTTACTCATTAACCCAATAAAACTGTATTTTTACGGTATAAATATTTTATACCCTTTAACATAAAAACCTTGAATGACTTTGCATACCTCAACTTATGTCTATATTGTACAATGTGAGTTATGTTGTGTATGTGTCAAACTTTGTGTTACTTGAAACACACGAGTGTATGTGCCTATATTTGAGGTTATATGTGAATGAAGTAATCAGACAAGAAACTAAAATGGTACAAGTCACTGTTACCACTTCACATAACTGACGAGGGGCAGATGAGGTTGCTTTCATCCTGCCATTTATGAGTATAACTCAAGACAACCACTTGTAGAAGATATTTCAGTCTCTCAATGACAAACAGTAAATGTTTGTTTAAATTGTTTATTAGATAAATAAGGAGCAGACTTAATAAGATTTTATCTTCATCTGCTGCCTTTCATTTTATTTTTGTTTTCAAATTACATACATGTAAATTGATATGTATTCTTCTTATTATAAAATGAATAAATAAATAAATAAAATAAAATAAAAAATAAATAAAATAAAATAAAATAAACATTTATGTTTTTTTATTTATTTATTGGTGAATGTACTGAGTGATGTGCTTTTATTGGACTGAAACAAAGAGTAGTGAGAGTGTTGTTGTGACGAATACACGGACACCCACAATGACCACTCTGTGCGCCTACATGTGAATGCAGGATCTGTGCAATGTTACAAAATAGAAGCAAAGCGTCTGTGCACACGACGATGAGTGTGGGAGTGTGCGCTTCTTACGGGGCTGGAGAGCAGTGGCAGGCCGGTGCAGGGGTGGAAGGCCTTGGTTGATGTGGCGTCTAATGAGTGGCGGTTCTGTTTCTTCCAGCTGTTGCAGGGGCGTAGAGGCGAGGAGGGGCAGTGAGGACCCTGGTGTACATGGATAGAGTGTTTAGGACAGCTTGGAAATGAGGAAAAAGCCTCTACAGTTCTAAAGTTACACCCCTAAGCAGAACATAACTTCAATGTTAACTTAAAAAAAGTAAAGTTACATCTTCAACCGTGAAAGAAACAAAACTGAAATGTTTATTGTTTTAGAAAATTAGCCTATTTACCTTTTTGACTACAGGTTATAAATGTGGCTACTAGCAGTTTGCTTAAAACTAAAGATTCTTCAAAAATAAAAATTTCTACACCTCCAAAGATAAAATATATAGATCTTACAAGGACTGATGGAGCTGGAGATGTGTCTGGACTGGATGTGTTGGATCCAGACTCTGAGGGTGCCTGGTTCTCATCCTGCAGTGCAGAACCCTGAGCTGGCACACAGTTCTGTATCTGGATCTGAGGCTGAGGCTTGTTGTTGTTTCTGTTACAGTTCATAGCTGGGATGGCATCACTGTGATTCCAACTCAGATTTGGGGCATTTCTTGGTATGGTCTCGTGAACAGGGGGAACAGAGGGGGTTTCATGGCTGCTGAATGTCCTGACTCTGAGCTTTTTCTGCGGGGAAGCTCTTAGACACTGACCAGTCTGGGCATCGGACTGGCCGTTGAAAGAGGCTTCTTCAAGTGTAAACTGGGTACCATTTTGGACTCTGGGCGAATGGCATTCAGTCCTCGGTCCAACTTGGGGCTCGTCTGTGCAAATGGGCATGTGTAGGGCGGCGTTGTGCATGCCGTCTCTGTGAGGTCCATGGCTGGGTACGTGGCCGTTGGTGTAGCCATTGCTGGCGGTGTGTGATGCTTCTGGAATGCGTGTGGTGTGTGAGTATGTGCGCACTGTATGTGTGACTGTTGTGCACATGTGGTGCAGAGGGCTGCTGCTCCTGTGTCTGGGGGACAAAGAGGGGACGGAGAGTCTCTCCTGGATGAGTCTGGTAATGTCTTGTACCGCCTGTGCAATGAGGGAGCCATCTCTGTCTTTCTCTCTGACCGTCTCCGTTTCTTTCTTCTCCACCTCTCTCTTTCCGCTTTCGTTCATTTGCAGTTTTCTGCAGGCGGCAGGTTTAGGGGAGGACGTCTCCCGTTTGACAAAATTAGTTTCAGTCACAGGTGTGTTGAACGGGCCAGACCACGCACGTCCCACAGATTCATAGGGGGGTACTTCAGGTTCTTTGGTCTTACCAGCAGCTGTGACGTCATGGTTGCTGCCCCACATGGCTTTGGGAGGGTTGTCAGAAGCAAACAGGCCGGGAGGGAGTGGCGGTGCGGTCGGATCACAGAAGTTGAGCCTTTGTGCAATTCTAGCGATAACTTCTTGTCTCTCCTGCAGCAGCGAGCCAATCAAAGGGTTCGTCTCATTTGCAGCAGGCCGTGGGGAAGGGCAGCGGGGCGACTCTGCCATGGAGAAATTCTTAAAAGTTCTCAGAGGCTCAGGGATGGTCCCCTTTGACCGTTCAGGGTTGTTGGAACCAAATTCATCCCCCTGCGAGGGGTCGGATGAACCATTCAGGGTCGAGTACAACCACTTTCCTGCTTTGCTTGTGGGAAGCGGGACGGGAGAGTGAGAGCGGGAGGGCGTAGGGGAGTGAGAGGACCTGCGGAACAGTGGTGAGCCCTGACATTGGGGCATGCTGACCTGGGGGAGCTCTCCGTTGTGAAATGTGTGGTTTTCACCAGGCTCCTTCTTACTGTACGAGTGTGGCACTGCAGTGTGAGAAAGGCTGTTGACGGGGATGTTGTTGATAGGTAGATTAGGGACAGGTAAACCATTGAGGAGATGGCCAGACATAGAGCTGGAGCTCTTGCTGTACATGTTGGCGTTGTGGTGAACAGTGTCTTTGCCAGGGTCCGGAGTCTTTCTGAGGGTGGGCAGGCCACCATGGCTGTTGAGGTTTGGGCTGAGGCTGGGGGTCTTGCTGTAGATCGGAGGCAGGCCGGTGTGGATGCTACAGGCCAGCGTGGGATAAGTGGGCTGTCGAGGTAGCGACTGAACACGAACTTGCAAGGCAACGCTCTGGGATACGTTTGGGACAGGAAAAATGTGCTCTGATGGCGGCTGAGAAAACTGCCACACCAAATCTTCATCCGCAGCACTGATCCTATCGAACATGAATAACGAGATTAAAAAAAAGGAACCGTTACTTTTTAATCTTAGAAACCGTCAGAACCATAATTGAATTTTTGAACTCAACAGTACACAAGGTTAAACCTCTCATTGTAAATTTCAAACAAACACAACCTTAGCTTATTTGCTGCAGCTTAAAAACGTTGGTTTGACAACAAAACAGCAAAGACCTACAGTGTCAGTGAGCGTTAATGTCTGACCTGTACAGGATGTTTCTGGGGACGATACCATGGGAGGCGCTGAGCCAGGCGCTGAGCTGGGAGAAGAAGACGTAGGAGCGAACAGCCAATAGCAGGGTTTTCTCCTCAATGAAACGATCACCGCTTCTATTAAAAAACACAGTTATAAGAAAATAGAAGTGTGCCAGTATGTCAGGTTAATGAGAAAATGGTCAGGGGATGCATGTTGTTCTTTCTTCTTTTTAATTCTTCAAAAAGATCCTCCCCTGTTTGTACATGCGTTTGTGAGGAAAGTGGGGCAGCTGTTAGGCTAACTAACACCCAAGTGCAAGGATGAAGGGAAAAAAAAGAGAAAAACAAATACAATTATTTTACATTGCATGTTTAACATGTGAAAACCTTTGTACAAATTGTGATTTTAACACTCTTGAATGTTTGAAATGTTAAAAAAAGTTAATTAAATTGTGTTGTCATAATGCCTAAAACTATCACGTTATGTGCATGTTTTTGTTTATATCGCCAAAGTTTTACAGCTACTTTGCCATTGTAATAAACAAAGGTTTATTACTAGAAGCCTCTCCCAAATGTAACAAATGGTCTGCCACACCACGAAAACTGCTTATGAACAACTTAAATAACACAAAGAGCTCAAGGATGTGACTTTGCTTCCAAACTCCCCAGCTCCCAATCCAATCAAATATCCGTGGGATGTGCAGGAATAAGCCCCTTCCATGCAGCACAAACGACCCAAAGGATCTGCAGCTAAAGTCCCAGCGGCAGACACCTCTAGGTCGTGTTTCTATACAACAACAGGGATGTTTTAATGGCCAGAAAGAAGGCTTTGCAACATAAGTTGGACAGCTGTCATAGTGTTGCAAACTGGTGAATACTTTCTCTAGATTTAGTCACTTAGACACAGTTTCAACATTTTTATAGCCTGTATGCATACAGAGACTGTTTCAAGAGGTGGAATAAATCAAAATACTTTATATCAGAGTTTCTGTATTTAACCAATGTTTACTTAGTTGAGGTGTCAAATAAACCATCAGTGAATTTCTTTTTTGTATTTTCTCATCCCTTTTTTTAGACCTACCTTCATATTTTGGCACAAGTATAAAATAATTTACTGCTGTAAAGAAGCAATTAAGAAATAAACACATTTAACCTATTAATGTTAGGTCTATGTGAAATACTTTGTACAATATAAATGTTTCTTTTGACCTTTACAATAATGTCTATCTCTACTATTAAAAATCTATTATAATCTAAAACTGTGTAACGTTTTAATTAAAAACGTTTGGTTGCTGAGCTTGTGTTTGTTCAGAGAAAGACAGTTTGTATTCTTCTTTCTGTATAATAAACCAGTAAGCTTCTTACAATGAGGGAGATTTTATTTTCACAGTGGTCAAATACACTGGCACAAGAAGTTCTTTGTTTTTAAAATATGAACTGCATGAACAGGTCAGTCAAACTAAGCAGGACGAACTGGTAAAAGTGTTCTTTTCTCCCAATGACCAAGTGTTTAGTTTTAATCTGATAAAGTTGTGTTTTTGAGTGTCTGTCTTACTGTCGTGGAACAGCCTGTAGGGTCCACCTCTCCAACAGCAACGCGTCTTGTTTGATGACCGGGTCACTGATGGGGTCGCTTGGGGGGCACTCGTCGCCATAGCAACAGTCTGGCAGCAGCATGACCTCGATCATGATGGGGATGTTGTTCCTCCAGAGCAGGATCACCTCTGAACGGGTTCGCCTTGCTTGTCGACACTGGATGCACGCACACAACAACAAAAAAGGCAGGGTTAGAGCTTTGTTAATAAATGTAAACGACTTTTTGAAATTTAGGGACAAAGTAAATGAGACTTGAGGGAGCTTTACTTTAGGTTGAAGGAATGCTGGGGGGTTTCTGGCTGCTGTTTTTTAAATAATTTTTTTTTTACTCTGCATAACTATTCCAGAAACCATAATAGTACAAATGCAGCTTTATGGCATTATTGGATTCCTTTGTTTGTTGATAATTACCTTTCAGTACCTAAGCACAGTAGTCCCTCGCTACTTCACAGTTCGACTTTCGCAGTTTTTCAACAATTGTCAACTTTAATATTACTCACATGATTGGGACAGTATGGGATAAAAAGTTAACAAAAAAATACTTCGGACAGGCGCCGCCATTTTGTAGTTTTCTTTCAATAAGACTACACTAACGCCAGTCAAAAGAACTACACTACCCAGAAGCCAACAGTGCTTCCTGCTGCTGCTTTCTGCCAAAATGAAGTGAAAATTTTGCAATGCAAAGTCAGACGTAACGATCTATCTATTAAGCTCACAGAACTGGCAGGAAAGTAGCAAATAATCCTAAAGCTCAATTATCCACGCGCACATCAACTGCACCAATCTGATACAAACATCGGTATCGGTACTGATATCAGAAAAACTTCTGGATCAGGGATCGGTGACAATGTGACCGATCCATGACTGGACAGATCTATTCACTCTAATTCTATGCTTTGTGCTCGGAGCGTCATGCGCTAGCGAACTGACTGAACAAATTAAAGTTGTGTTGTTTTTACATGTTTGACCAAGCTTGTGAAGCTCTTGGTGTGTTTAAGTGTGCTGTTATGGTGCAGAGTTTTCAATAAATTTGCAATTCAGTACATTCATGTCTGCGTTTAACAAAACAAATGTTTTAAGTTAATTCAGCACTGGGCTTGTAAGCTCAAACATCCAGGTAGACAACAAAAATGGCTAAATCATGTCATCTGGACCAGTTTCAGAAATGGGTTCAGATGACATGATTAAGCCATTTTTGTTAATTCAGCACTGTCTTTCTGCATCAGATTGATATCGGATCGGTATCGACCGATACCCAACTGTAGACATCGGTATCGGATCGAAAGTGAAAAAAGTGGATGGTGCATCCCTAGACGAGACAGTGGGCTCTGTCGCTGCAGGGTAGGTCTGCAGAACCAGAACAAAGCCCAACCAGAACTGAGCTGCTGTTCTGCAGAGCTAGTGAGTAAAATTTTGCAGTACTGTACAGCAGGGGTTCCCAAACGTTTCCATGCCATGGCCCCCCAAACAGCATTAGCTTCTGGCCGAGGCCCCCCTCACAAACCCACATACAATGCTACAAAATATGTAAAGAAACATCAACTTTAGAATGTTTGAACTTTTATTCACAATATTCAATTAATTATTACCACTGCTGAACATAAAAATGTTATTATCATGTTTTAAACACTGTACTATATTTCCACTGAAAAAAAACAACTTTTCAACAAACTGTTTACCAGAAGAACAAAACAAAAAAAATCTAACCCTCTCTCAAGCGTGTTTATCTGGAAATGACAGATACAGATTGCCCTAGTGGGCAATTTTTATTATTATTATTACTATTTTTGCTTTTTTATATTCTTCTCTCCAGCTTTCTGGGGTCTCCCTAGCACCCCCTGGCGGTCCTCCAGGGGGCCACAGCCCCACTTTGAAAAACACTGCTGTACATATACCTATATTGTTAAAATTACGTAGGTTTAAGAGTTCTGAACATTGCAAGAGTGTGGGAAGGGTTTATAAAGCCTTAGAATATATATAAATACTAAAATAAATATTGTGTTCCTACTTTGCGTTTTTTCACCTATCGCAGTGATGTGTGGAACGTTGCGTAACCTCCGCGATAATCGAGGGGCTACTGTATTTTATTACGATAAAGGCTGATTCGATATTAGCACTTCCCATCCATCCATTAGCTTCACCCGCTTCTTCCTTTATGGGTCGCCGGTGCCCATGTCCAGCAGTCACTGTGCGAGAGGCGGGGCACACCCTGGACAGGTCTCCAGTCCATCACAGGGACACGTAGAGACAAACAAACATTCACTCTCTCTCTCACACCTAGAGACATTTTAGAGTTACCAATCAGTCTAACGTGCATGTTTTTGGTCTGTGGGAGGAAACTGGATTACCCAGAGAAAACCCACACATGCACAGAGAGAACATGCAAACTCCACCCAGAGTGGCAACCGGACCGGGATTTGAACCAGGGTAACCTGCTTGCTGAGAGGCAGCAGCTCTATCAACTGCACCACCGTGCTGCCCGATCTTAGCACTTTTACCACAAAACCTGCCTCTAACAAGATGAAGAAAAACTGCCTTCAGTTTCAGTTTAAACATAAAGGACAATAGCAATGTGTGTGTGTGTGTGTGTGTGTGGGGGGGGGGGGGGGGCAGTTGTGGTACCTGAGGAAATTTGTCGCTGCATTCATGTTTGTGAAGTGGCGGCATGGCTGACTGGGCTGGAGGACAGTGCAGCCCCTCAGTTCTGCCTTTGACAGAATATTCTGGTGTCCTTCCCTCTGTGATCAGCAAGGTCAGGAACACCAGGAACTCCTCTGTGTCATACTCGAAAAACTCCTCTGTTGCATCTGAACAAAAAAGAAGAGGTGGAAGGTTTAAAGAATCAGAACAGAAACATGGAAACAGCTGGACTAAACGCAGCAAATATAAACTTTTTGTATGATCTGTGGCTGAGTCTGATGCACAAAAATAGATAAAAGTCTGTGTTTCCTTGATGCAGGTTCACATGTGTTTGTTTAGGGTTTTGCTCAGCTGGATCTGGTTTTTAACTCTGCTGACGATTGTTTAGGGAAGGAGTGTGGGGGATGGCAGTGGATGACACAACTTTTCCAGTTTGGCTGCTTAAAAATATATATATTTAGATCTTTCGTGTCAGCTGGGCGAACGGGTAAAGCCACACACGGACTGTTCTTTCTTTTACACAAAACATACAGAGACAACAAAAGAACTGATGAAGGCTTTATTTATCCTCATTAGACAGCATTTCTAAAATAAGAACAACCAGCTGCACAAGAAAAGTACAGAACAGTAATTTGTCTGTACTGTACTGCACAACCCTGTGCTCCATTAATTTTGTCACTGTAGACTGGGTGTGGCTGGCAGGTCCACTCAGAGCTAAATCAACCTTTTGACACCTCTTGTTGACTTTGCAAAAGATTATCAATCATAAAAAGGCTGAAATGGTGCTGACGGGGAACAATCAACTGGCTGTCACAAACTGGACTTAGCCCTTTTGTCATATTTTAATGTAGAGAAAAAGACAAATTAATGGGAGAGACGAGAGATTCAGGCAGACTTGTAAAAGCCCGTGTATTGAAACTGAAGCCTAGCCCCTACATAAAGTATTTTTAGACAGTTAAAGGGCCTGGTTTTTTCCATTTTCTTAATTCCTCCAGCAAAAACTCCCAGAGGAAGTCAGGTGATGCACAGGAAAAATCACAGCTTTCTCTCTTGACAACCAACTGATATACAGAGCTGCTTATAACCTTTGAGAGTCTAAATATTTGATTTGGTCAAGCTAAAGTCAAATCAAATTAGCATGGAAGCTTCTCACTTTTACCCCTGCTCTGACATGTCAGGTCTGCGTAAGGACAAAGGAGCAGATGCACAACCCGGCAGAGCAGGGCTGGCTGGAACAGGGTCTTTCTCTGCTGGCTCTGCAGAAGCGTGCACAAGTATCGCACTCAGCCAGCCAGTCACGAACACTCCTCTCAGGGAACTCCTCCTACATGCCTCTGAGCTGCTGCTGCACGTGGAGAGACAGGCAGTCCAATACAAAACATAAGGAAAGATTGTGTATGTATGTGTGTGCGTGGTGGTTGGGGGGGGGGGGGGGCTGTTTGCCAGCCGTCGCTTGAAAAAAATGCAGGCAGGATGAAAGAGATGAGAAGAGAGAGAGTCTGTATTCACAGACAACCTTTTATTTTTTTCTTCATGGGCTGCAATCAGAAAGGTTTGAACAAAGGGAGTCAGAAACCAGCAGTGAGGGAGGAGGAGAGCAAGAGAGCAGAGAGAGGGAGTAATAAACGACAACAGTCAAAATTCAAGGTCACAGTCCATCACCTGTACATGACGGCTGGCTTGCACATGCTGGATATAGTGCGCTCCAACAAGCTTATTTGCAGCTAAGGTTTCTCGCTCCCTGTAATAGAAAAAGCTCCTGTTCCAGAGTCTATTAGGATTTGGGCTAAAGGTAATGTGACAGAGGCTGGGGTCAAAGGAGAAAGAAGGAGAGGAGGGGGGAGTTTATGGAAGCAGAGGCAAACAGCCACTGAGGTGGTGTGCTAACCATACCCACCAATGAAAAACACACACTGAGCAACAATTCATGTGCACAGTTGGTGTCAGATTGCCTAGGAGCCATACATACACCCCCTTATAGCACACATGAGAAACACACACATGCACACCAACTAATCAAGACGCAAAATTATTAACAACACTTTCAAACAAACAAAAACTCAGAAAACACACACAGCAACTCACGTACACGTGCAGGAGGAGGACAAAAGATGGTGGCTTTAGTTAAGAGGCCCAGCCTGTGTGTGCTGAGATCAGAGCTGTCATTCATTAAGGCATTGTCCCTGAACACAACATTCCTACGTGGCCTACACGCACTCCAACACACAGACACAGTTTCAACAGATGTATGGAGGACAACACAGAACGGCAAAGATGTAGAAAATATGCACATATGATTTGTTGAAACACTGAGATGTGCAATTGTTGTGCATTTCATCACAAGGAAATTTAACTAATGTTTTAGCCTAATGTAAGATCTCTAAACCTCACCAATATAATAGTTATATTATCTTCACATCAAGAGGTTTTGTATACATTTAGGAAACTTTGCAACAATATGCATATTTATTCAAACAAATTCATCTCCTCCTTCTTCATCCTCCAGCTGTTCCTTCTTCAGTGGTCGCCACAGAGAGTGATCTCCCTCCATCTCACCCTGTCCTTTGCATCCTCTGTCCTCACTCCATCTACCTTCATGTCCTCTATAACTGCATCCATATATCTCCTCTTTGACATTTTTGTTATTTTCCTGGCAGCGGCATTTCTAACATCCTTCTACCAATATACCCACTGTGCCTCCTCTGGACATGTCCAAACCATCTCAGTCTGGCCTCTCTAACTTTATCTCCCAGTTGTTCAACCTGCACTGTACCTCTGATGAGCAGAAAGAAAAGATTTGCAGAGAGTGGTGAAGGCTGCACAGAAGACTGTTGGAGTCAGCCTCCCCACCATCATAGACATCTACATCTCTAGATGCAGGAAGAGAGCCACCTGCATCATGAAGGACCCCACTCACCCAGCGCACACACATTTTGCCCCGCTCCCCTCAGGAAGGAGGTTAAGGAGCACTAAGTGTAGAACCACTAGACTGAGGAACAGCTTCTACCCTGAAGCTGTTAGACTCATGAATCCCTAACCAAAAAAATCACTGTGAAAAATCACATCATGTTGCTGCTGATCTGTTTCATGTTGATGTGTTCATGCATGCTCATCTGCTCACACAGACTCATGTTCGTGCTGCTGTTCAACGTAATTTTTTTTATGCTACCAGTGCTTAGTGTATTTTTAGTTGATGTTGTTCTTAGTTCATATCTTAGATCTTATTACTGTTCTTCTTTTACATTTTATTGTTGGAAGTAACTGGGATCCTGTGTGCATAATCTCGTTCCACCACATGTACCACATGAGATGTGAATTTTCCATTTCTCTACTTAAGTTTTAGAGCTTTCTCTGTCTATACATGACGTCATTAAATCTTTTATTTTTCCATGAGTCATTTGGTTCCCCTGTCTTTAAACAGATTTTTTTTACCATCTCTCTTCTTCATCTACCATAGATGTGCAACAAGCATTAATTATGTCACACCATTTTAAGATTCTGATGCCTTGTTACTGGACCTGTGAACCCGTGCTCCTAAGAACAGCTTGTCCCACCTACAGATCAGCTGGTTCAGCACACACATGCACACTTCAGGCCTGCTAGGACAGAAGCAGAAAGATCCGCCTCATTAACTTGACCTGCACATTTGTTTTATAATATACACTCTGACACTTGTGTTGATGAGATTCAACATTGCCTAAGAACAAGTTAACTATTTAATACTAGCAACGTTGTTGGTTTTAAAAAAGGGAGACAGATGGGAAGACAGAAGGAGGTGAGAGAGACACACAAATTGAGAAATGATGACCCATTAATCCCTGCGCTGTAGCCACACAATCACTGTCGGTTCTCTTTTTAAAGCAAAAGCTGCTGTATGCTCACACACACAGACACACACACACACACACACACACAGAGCTAATTTGAATGCAGAAGTATCCATATGGCCACCACTCCCATCTTCCTCAGTCCTCTGTTCAGACGGAACGATCAGGCAGCCGACTGCTGTTTGTACAACAGCCTGTTTTAATAATACTTACTGGTACTGGCATTACTGACTAATCTGTGTTTGCCAGTTACATGTTGGGTCTATAAAATGTTGGAAAACCATTCCCCACAGATCCAGGTTTAGTGATATCCTCTAATGATCTTGCAAATAATCAGTCAGTCCAACATCTAGTTGACTCACCCGTTTTACAAAAATAAAATAAAAAGCGACAAGTCTTAATAAAAAAAAGTTGACAGCGACTATTTTAACCAAATAAAACTGGTTAGAAAAACCTTTAATTTTTTTTTTTTTAGATTTTCCCTTTATTACATCATTGTTTTTTTTTAAATCTCCAATATTAGTGTTTATTGTTAAGGTTTATTTTTTATTTTTAACCAAGTATTTCACTTGGCTCCTTACTTTGGCATCAATATTTTTTTATTGTTGGCGGTTTTGTTATTTTTTTAATTTATTTCAGTAAGGTTATGGACAAACAATCCAAGAGATAATATAATGAAAAGACACCACCAGTGTTAGGCAACGCATTCAATAATTTAGAGAAAAAGAGAAAGAAGGTCTGTAGGGAACCTGCTCAAGGCAACATTTTTAGCTAAATTGGGATATAAAACAAGCTCAGAAAGTTCAAAAGGAACACAAAATATCTAATGTTTCATGTCAACTTCAAGTGTACCCTTATAATCTTAGAAATAAAAATCATTATTAGCAGAATTGTTATGAATTTATTACAAAAGATGCCCCACGACTTTTATTTATGATCCCAAAATCCCAGAAACGTATCCATCTAATTCTGACTGAACTATAGTAACACCCATTTTTATTTTCTATTTGATATTTTATGCTTATGTGTATAGTACATATTAACGGTTGACAGGCCACCGAAGGGGAAAAAAGATACAATTAAAGAAAAAACACACTGTCTTTTCAATATCATAGAGACAAACGATGTATGGCAATGACAGTCATTACTGTGGAGTTAAGGCAGAGCTTAACTGTAAAAACTAAAAATTAATAAACAAGAAGTTTGGCTTTTAGTTGTATAAAACATTCCAGTCTAATTATAAAATCAATGTGAAGGCGTATGATAAACAAATAGTTTAAAAAAAGTGCCTCTAGAATCAAATGTTCTGTTTTTCCTTCTGCGGGTCCACACAGGCTGTG